CCAAAAGTTGATTCAGTCGACTTAAGTGTAGCTAAATCAGAGCAGAGTAGCAGCACGAGCGAGGGGGAGAGCAGCAGCAGCAGCGCGAGCGAGCGAGCGAGAGCCGGAGCAGCAGCAGCTGGGCGAGCGAGCGATCGAGCGAGAGCCGGAGCAGCAACAGCAGATCCGGCTAGTATGGACGCTGCCGCCGAAGGGGCCTCGCACTGGGGGAGAGCCGCCGTGGAGATGTCGCCCGCGGCGTCTGATGTCTACTACACAACCTTCTCCTTGTAGACGTTGTTGGGCCTCCAAGTGCAGAGGTTTGTAGGACAGTAGCAAATTTCCCTCAAGTGGATGACCTAAGGTTTATCAATCCATGGGAGGCGTAGGATGAAGATGGTCTCTCTCAAGCAACCCTGCAACCAAATAACAAAGAGTCTCTTGTGTCCCCAACACAACCAATACAATGGTAAATTGTATAGGTGCACTAGTCCGGCGAAGAGATGGTGATACAAGCGCAATATGGATGGTAGATATGAATATTTGTAATCTGAAAATATAAAAACAGTAAGGTAACAAGTGGTAAAAATGAGCGTACACGGTATTGCAATGCTAGGAAACAAGGCCTAAGGTTCATACTTTCACTAGTGCAAGTTCTCTCAACAATAATAACATAACTGGATCATATAACTATCCCTCAACATGCAACAAAGAGTCACTCCAAAGTCACTAATAGCGGAGAACAAACGAAGAGATTATTGTAGGGTACGAAACCACCTCAAAGTTATCCTTTCTGATCGATCTATTCAAGAGTTCGTAGTAAAATAACACGAAGCTATTCTTTCCATTTGATCTATCATAGAGTTTGTACTAGAATAACACCTTAAGACACAAATCAACCAAAACCCTAATGTCACCTAGATACTCCAATGTCACCTCAAGTATCCGTGGGCATGATTATACGATATGCATCACACAATCTCAGATTCATCTATTCAACCAACACAAAGTACTTCAAAGAGTGCCCCAAAGTTACTATCAGAGAGTCAAGACGAAAACGTGTGCCAACCCCTATGCATAAGTTCATTGAACCCGCAAGTTGATCACCAAAACATGCATCAAGTAGATCACGTGAATATCCATTGTCACCACAGATAAGCATGGCAAGACATACATCAAGTGTTCTCAAATCCTTAAAGACTCAATCCAACAAGATAACTTCAAGGGAAAAACTCAATTCATCACAAGAGAGTAGAGGGGGGAGGAACATCATAAGATTCAACTATAATAGCAAAGCTCGCGATACATCAAGATCATGCCAAATCAAGAACACGAGAGAGAGAGAGAGAGAGAGAGAGAGAGAGAGATCAAACGTACATACCCTCAGCCCCGAGGGTGAACTACTCCCTCCTCGTCATGGAGAGCGCCGGGATGATGAAGATGGCCACCGGTGAGGGATCCTCCCTCCGGCAGGGTGCCGGAACAGGGTCCCGATTGGTTTTTGGTGGCTACAGAGGCTTGCGGCGGCGGAACTCTCGATCTATTGTGCTCCTCGATGTTTGAAAGGATCGATATAGTTGACTAGAGGGGGTGTGAATAGGCAACTAACAATTTTTAGCTTTTCTTTACCAAATTAAACTTTGCATCAAAGTAGGTTGTCTAGAAATGCAACTAGGTGGGCAACATATATGATGCAAAAACAACAAGCACACAAGCAAGGAAGGGATATGACACAAATAAGTTTGGGGTCTACGGCTTAGAACAATAACAAGTGCATATAACTGGCAGATAGGATCAAGAAATCATATATACTCATGAAAACATAATAGGTTCAGATCTGAAATCATGGCACTCGGGCCCTAGTGACAAGCATTAAGCATAGCAAAGTCATATCAACATCAATCTCAAAACATAGTGGATATTAGAGATCAAGCCCTAACGAATTGACTCGATTACATGACAAATCCCATCCATCTCCATCACCGTCCAACAAGCCTATGAAGGAATTACTCACTTCCGATGGTGAGCATCATAGCTTACGTGAGTTGCCACTCCCATCCCACTTTGAGGGCGGTCGTCACTTGTGTGTAGTAGTCGGCATACTTGTTCACTTCCCCTTGAATGATCCCCCATCGATGTTGGAGAGATGCCACATTGTGATTGGTGACGATAGGATGTGGCTCTTCTCTTGTTCATGATGTTCCTTCCAAATATTCTCCCAATACTTGTTCACCTTTTTCTCCGTGCTGCATATTGGATCCATTGTTGTGGCCAACTAAGATTTGACCAACAAGATATCCTCAAAAGTTGAGAATGCCAGACCTCTTGCCTTTGCAGTCTTTGGCTCCTTATTCTTCTTCTTGCTCGGAATTGGATTTGAAGTTGTCCCAACTTCAAATGAAGGGCAAGTTGGATCCCCATATTCGTAGTCCATTTGGGTCGGATCTTGATTATCATTGATCATGCCTGACATGATCAACTCCTAAATGATCATTGTTTGCAAGCATTCATCATGTCCAAAATGAACTAGTGGTCTATTGAAAACATTGAACATGGCATATGCAAAGTTGATCGGACAGGAGCAACAAGAACATACCGAGTCTTGTTGTGTCATTTCGTCGAACAGGTCGTGGGCAGCCTGGGCGCTGCCGATGCCCGTGCTTCTCCGCGCCAGAATGAGCTACGACGAGTGAAGACGTCCACCAGTGCCATCTGCATGGGCGGAAAGCTCTCTGGAATGCTCCAACCGGCTGTCGGATCCTCTTCTATCCCAAAACCTCGTCCGACGGTGCAACCCTTGTCGACGGCAGGATGGATGGGGTGCGGGGTTCCAGGCATGGCGATGCGAGGGGGGCAGTTGCTCGTCCATGTCCGCATCTGCTCCCTGCGCCGCCGCCACTTCCCTCTCTCGCTCTCGGTGTCGTCGGTTCCTCCGGGCGATGTTCTCCGGCTTGCACAACGAAGCCAAGGGCGGGATGTCGACGGACAAGGCAGACGCGACCTCTGTCGCGACGGTCGGGGACTGGTTGAACGACATCTAGGGCGGTGGATCAGGAGCGGCAGTGAGGATGGTGAGCAAGGGTGACGGACGGCGAGGGCTCGAAAGCGGGAAAGGTTGGAGGGAGGCAGGAAGAGGGGGAGGGTTTGGTGGATTTGGTGCAGTTTGTGGGGGTAGGCCTATCGGATTCGACGTGGCGGACGTGCCCGGGCATCAACATGTCCATCCTACATTTGAGTTGGATACGAGGGGTGCCGGTAGTCCTGGCCATGGGAAGCCCGGCCCGGCCAGCCTGGCCCGACGCTACCCCCGGGCCGGGCTCGGGCCTAGTTTTTGAGCCCGAAGGCCGGGCCCGGGCCCATCGTTTTTGCATTTTTCTGAAGGTCGGGCCGGGCTAGCCCGAAGCCCGACGGGCTTTTATGTGCTCGGGCCGGGCTCGGGCCTAGAAACACAGGCCCGATGGTCGGGCCGGGCCGGGCCGGGCCCGGGCCTGTGTTTTTTGTGTCGGGCTTGGCTAGGCCCGGCCCGAGGTTTGGCCAGGTATAGGTGCCGGCCAGCCTGGACATATGAGGCCCATTTAAGATGCCTATCTGAGTCAATTTTTCTGACCAATGTGACCGGGTTGTTTGCCCGGGTGTTTGAAACTGGTTTAGGGTGCCCAGTTGTAGATGCTCTAAAAAGTCTTCAAAGCCTGCCCTCACCTCTTCTTTCCGCCTCAGCATGGCCAGGACGGCGAGCCCGTGACCACGGCTCGTTGCTACAAAGTGTCAGATGATGTTTGTTTCAGGAATTAACCTTTATTTTGAGGCTCAACCTATCTGAATGTAATTAACTATAAATATGTGTGATTCCAAAGTCAGTTTCAGGAATTCAGAGGTTAGTTCTAATACAATGCATGATGATGTTTGAAGTTTAGACATACATCCTTCACTTTGCTCAACGAAAGAAGAGTGCCCGGTACCAATTGCATCAGTAAAGACAACAAAGTAATCGTATCTGATGACAAGTCACAACCAAAGCAAAAATGAAAGTGTCAGAAATGCGGTGTATATTTATGCCCTGTTCAGTACTGCTCCGCTTCACAACTCCGGGAACGGAGTTGGCGGAGCTGTAGTTTAAATCGGAGGAGCTGCTGTTTGCCCGCTTTGCAGATTCCGGGAGCGGGTGATTACCGAACAGGGCCTTACATTGAAGATAACATCAGCACGTAGCATTCGGTCACCTCAATCAATAACTGGCACCGATCCAAACCAACCAGCGCATACATAATTCAGCACATTAATAGCAGCTAGAGGCACTACTACAGCATCATGCACACATAAACAAAGATATGTACTCCCTCCGTCCCGGTGCATAGGGCAAGTGTGTAGTTCTAGGCCATCAATTTAACTAGCTAATATGTATTATATGTAACAAAAATATATATTTAGAAACTACATTCATATATGTATCCAATGATATGCTTTTGATGAGATATAAGACATTTTTAGTTAGTCAAATTCACCCTAGAACTACACGCATGCCCTATGCACCAAGACAGAAGGGAGTACTGGCAAGAAGCACAGCTCATGTCCTTTTCCTAGCCCTCTTCTTGCTCATTGCGCTGGCTCTCGGTGTGGTTTTTGTTGTGACGGCGGCAGATGGATCAGGGGCAGAGGCGCCTTCCCCTGCCGATTGCCTGCACATTCAGAAACAGCAAAATGAATCATCTCATATGAAATTCTCTGGCTGCAAGTCTACATTGTGAAGCAGGTACAAATCGACTTGGGCTATATTCAGTCTGGCTTCTGGTCACAGGTCATGCACTTTCATTCAGTGCACAAGGTATTTAGAAGGCCTCAAAAGCTCGGTGATCTAACCTGCCAACCTCCTCAACTCGCTCGAGGAAAGGGTCGACGCTATCCATGTAGGTGTTGAACTACACAAAGAATCAATATATTAGCACATACAGATGTATTTGAAAAGATGTGTGCTTTACTGATGACTTTACGAAGCAGTCTTCTCACTCAAACCTACCGCCTTCACAATGCTGTTGAATTTTGAACGAATTTTCTGCTGTTCTGCTGTGGCAGCAGTCCTTGCTGAAGCAGCTTCCGAACACAAATTTGAAGCCTATGCGGTGACATAAAGAAATGCAATATGTCAGTTATTTTCAGGCAAAAAAGATATAATTGACGAAAAAATGTCACTAAGTCATCAGTTTTTAAGAGTCAAAGAGATGGACAGCTAGTATCGTGTTTCTGCACAAACAGCGTCAATAAATGCTAATAAGGCCTCACAAGAATCACCAAATTTAATGATATTCCCATTTTAAAATGATTTTAAGTTCGAACAAGCAATATATTCAGAATAAAAAACATCACCTTAGCGATCGTTGCCTCTACTTTCTTTTCTCTAGGTTCAAGGCACTGCAGTTTACCCTCAATCTCGGAGCTCAAAGCGCCCAGCTTCTGATTTTCATCTGCTATTATTTGATTCCTTTCTTTCACTTTCCCCTTGAGACGCTCCTCCATTTCATGTACTGGTTGGAAGGGATTAATGCAAAAATGTGAGGGAAATAATAACTCTCAGAAAGGGAGCAACATAAAATACTTGAGCAGTACTAACAAAATATAATTTAGAAATTACAAAGATAACCTTTTCCTTGCCAATCAACAATCTGTGCGTCAAATGACATAACTGATACACTTTCATCATTAAGCTTCGCTTTGCGAGCTTTAACTTCCTTTTCAACTGTTTTAGCAGCAACAAGCTAGCAGCAACAGAAAGTGAGTTAGACCAGTCAATCCAGCTATGGAATTCAATCATGCCTTAGCTGTTCTTACCTGTTCATGTACATCCTGGATTTTAGAGTGTTGCTTCGTCAGTTTTTCATGAGCCTGCGAGATGGAGATAGTTTAGAACGGGATTACAGGGGTATCTACTGGTTAAGCACAACTAGGAGCAGCAGTAAGTGCCACTCTGATACAAAGTAGCACCACCAGGCACCAGCTGTACCAAAAGGATAATCCAAAATATCAAAGAGATATATCATACGAGGAAACTAAATTGTCCTGGGAAACACATGTAGCAAATCGTTTCTTTATCAAATTCCAAGGAAGAGAGTCTGAAATCAGTTGTCGTGGTCAATGTTCATAAGCAAAACACCTTCTAGAATTGGCATGTTCTGATGAGAAGTGGAATTGGAATACCTTATTGCGTATCTCCAAAGTGGCAGATTTCTCTTGATCATTTTGCATTGCTATTTTCTCAGACTCTTTCAACTTAGCACGGGCTGATTTCTTCTCTTCCAAGGCCCTCTTTAATAGGAAATAAAATCCAGAGTCAGGTATGCAAGCTTATACAGATCTCTTGTAATGATAATGCCTTTATGAGTCCAAATTGTATTCAGTAAATCAGGTTAACCAGGCCATACATCTGGTGGGCTTGGTATTGAGCCAAAC